ATCAAACCCAGTGAAGTACACAGTTTCGTATTCATCTGACCTTCCACCTTCGTAGTTCACCGTAATAAAGCCGCAGATCAACTCACTGTAACGTCTCCAACTTGCTTTAATACGGATTTTATCAGCTTTAACGTGATTACCCCCACTCCTTCCACTTTGAAGCATTCAATCGACCTCATCGCCTCCCAAAATAAACAGACGAAAGCTGCAGCTATAAATCTCCAATCTTCCACTTTGAAGCATTCAAATCGAGGAGGTGCAAACGAGAGTTGCATGACGGCCGTAGATAGCAAGAAGCATTGGCAAGAAGCATAATAGGGTTGTTGCAGGCAGTCAGAGCATGAATTATTCTCTATAGAGAGCATGAATGATTTCTCCTTCGAGGTATATACATCTGCTCAAGTAGATTTCCAATTTTCGATTTTGAAATTCTGATAGTTTTATTTACTTCACTTAAAATACACTTATGTTTACTACAAGACAATCGATCATATATCTTAATAATGAGTTTGCCTAATATATTGTGGGATCATAGGAATAGCTCATCAAGAGAATGGAGGCACTAGAGTGTACAAGAAAGTAAAAGCAAAAGCTAAGAAGTTCAAGAACATAATTACCAAACATGTTTATGACAACGATCATAATGTGTACCAAGATGTCGTCGAAGAACCAGAACTGCACAGTGAACAAGGTTTGGCCCTTGACAACATAAGCGTCATGTTTTTTGACATGGTTTCTTAGTTAATATCTGGATGTCACAGTGTATACTCGCGGCGTGTAACGGGCTAACCTTAGTCATTAAGTCATTCAAGAGAAGCTAATGTTCCGGAAAGAGAGGATATCGTTCCACGAGGGACAAAGTTTTGTCCGGTCATGTCTTTAGATGAGAACAGCTGTGCATGAACAATAAGGTAAAATAAAATCAAAACTTTCACCTCTTAAATTATCTATATATGACAACGCTTTCGATCCACTATAGTAAAATATATCCTTCATTTATTCCATACATTTGGTATGTCCTTGGAAAACTGAAAGATGAGAAAGTTGCGTGAAAAAAACATCAATTCAAAAGGACTAAAGCTTTCCACTATGACCTACTCTTGTCACTGGTCCTCACTTCTTCCATCTTCCTTCCATTTCAGCCTTGGCTTCTCCCAAAGGTTAACCTTATTTTCATGTGAAAACCTTTAGGATGGAAAAATTTACTTTCTGATCATGCCTGAAGCTTCACATTTTCTGCAGCTGCACAAAAGAGATGAAATCTGAGAAATTTGACAATGGAGGGAAAATCGGTCAGTATGTTGTTCATGTTTTAGAAAGCTAAAGTTAACATTTGTTTTGATCTCCACATTGTTTTCCCATCAAATTTTCACACATATGCCAATATGAAAGACAAGAATCACACTGTAGCCCTAAAGGTTCTTGCCTAGATCCAGCTCCAACAATCTCAAATACTTTACGGCTATTTTGATGATCAGACAAACTTAAATGTTTCTTAGTTTTGTTGCAGATGTATTGACATTTGACAGTGTCTACCTTTTTGGCTATAACAAACTTTAGTGGCTTCTTTCCTTTGTTGCGGAGTGCTAATCAAGAATCAATGAATATTTGAAAAACGAGAATACGTGAAGGAATGAAATAAAGGTAGGAGAGCAAAAGGTAAAAAGGATTAGACGTTGGGCGAAATGTTCCTCAAAAACAAATACGAGGAGAAAGAGGACAAGGAAGAAGAAAATTGCAGGAACCAATGGAAAGCAGTAGAAAATGTTCACCTATGGGGAAAGGATTGTGATCTAGATTTTATATCATTAGGAGATCTCTTCTTATGTTGATTAGTTTGAGCTTTTTGTTATAAATTCAACAGAAGGTAAAATAGTTTACAAAACACGAATACTAAAATCACAAAAACATCATTTGATTTGAGGTAAAATTTTAATAACAAACAATTTAACCTTTTTGATATATATATAGTATTTTAAGTTGTACTTTACCTTGGACCTACATTAATTTGTTATCGTGAGAAAAATAATTAGAGTAAAAATGAAAATTTAAAAGTCCTTAAAGAAGAATATTTTTCCATTTCATTTTATGTCATTTAAAGCTTTAGTATATATGTGAAAAAAGTTTACTATATATTTTACGAAAACTATGAGATGTTTCGTTCCTGACCAATACTCCCTCCATTTCGAATTAATTGTCATTCCAGAGAGAAAATTTCGTTTCAAAATAAGTGTCGTTTTAGAGTTTTGAGTCAAAATTTATTAATTTTATATGATATTATATTTTTCTATTGGTTGAAAAGTGGTTAGGTGTATAGGTAATTGTGTTTTTATCTTGAAAATATGTAAAATTAAATGTTTCCTTAATCTGTGTGTAAAAACCTAGAATGACAATTTAGTTTTATTTGAATTACATTATTACTAAATAATTAAATTTTAAAATTTGACAAGCATATATACATTTAAACTAACACTTAAAGAAAATTGAAAAGCAAAACGACTACTAATTTTGAACGTGGAAAATAATTATGTTGACTTTAAATTAACTCTTTTAACCACGTAAGAGTTAACTTACGTAGATTCCAACATGTTTGTTTTTCCAACATATTTGTTTGATGTCTGTTACAGTAACTCATGCTATGATGACTATTTTTCTATTCTTCAAAAAAAGAGCAGAAATAAAAATCAATAGAAAATAAATCATTCATTTCTTTTCAATTTTCTTTATGGTAAAATAAATTTCTTATCTCTAACTAAGAATAAACGTTAGTATTACTTTAAAACTAATACCAATCAATACATTTTAAATGTTTGTTATTTTATAATTTAATTTAGTAAAAAGAGAATTAATTATGTTTGGTA